AGCTGAAAATACATCAGCTTCATCTACAGAACAATATTTTAAGTTTTAACATAAAGTCTAATCATTATCATCATTATTAACAATTATTTAATTAATTAAAGTGTTAGAACTCATAATTAGCAAATAACTAATGCCCTGTTAAATTAGTAGTTTTAGTAGCAGGTGTAGCAGTATAAGTTGTGGTAGAAGTAGCAGTAGTAGCAACAGTAGCAGCTAACATTTAGTGGCAAACATGTTTTGAAGGTGATAGCAGAAGTAGTATTTACACTAGTTGTAAATATGTAGAAACAACAATTAGCATTAGTAGCAAACTTCCCATCAGTCTTATTATAAAATAACAAAAAACAACATGAAGGATTGAATTAAAAAAGTATATTAACCATCAAAATGCTTAAATTCTTCTTCATAGTCTTCCTCATCACTGCATTCCTCGTCGTCATCATCATCTTCTTTATCATCATCATCATAATGATCCCCGACAGTTAAGCCTGATCCAAAATCGATGATGCTGATGAGTTGCATGTCCAGGTCGACCAATATGTTCTCATCTTTGATGTCATTATGAAAGACATGAATTCGCTTCAAAGCCAACATGATTTTGATGAGGTCACCAAAAATTTTTCTCGCCTCCTCTTCTTCTAGAGACTTCTTTTCAGAGATGTAGTCGAAGAGGTCCATGCAGCGAGCTGGCTTTTCCAGGATCAGAATGAAACTGTCAGGCCTTTCAAAGTACTCAATGAGCTTGTTGACTCCATGAATGGAGTGAGCCTTTGAGAGCAGGTACACTTCCAATGGGATTGGTCTTGAATATTCATCCTGTAATTAATTGTAATTAATTGTGAGTGGTTTTTTTTATAATATAACACATAACAGTCTAATGGATGTTGACAAGTGACTTTTTTATAAATATTACAGTTATAAAAAAAATTCACAAAGAACAGGTTTTGAAAGTTGAAAATGATTACATGAATGGCTGAAACACATAATAATTTGAATCGGCAAAAAAATCAGTGGAAGGTTAAACTTGAGAGTTTGTGTAGGAGAGAAAGAGTGAAAAAATAACCAAAGAAAAAGGGAATGAAAAATGTTCAAAATTGTAATATGAAACACGATTAACAATTATAGAGGGGAATACCACACAGCTACCAACCAACCAACAATGACAGCTAACAATGCTTGCTCTATTTTACTACAAGGAAGTAAATGAATGAAATCTACACAGTGAAGATCTCATATGACAAAGAGAGGTGAATTAGTAATGTTGAGGTGATTTCCCAAACAAGTACAGACTCCAAATTAGGAGACTCTCAAACAAACTCTTGCAATGATTACTATCAAAGAGTGCATTGAAGAGAAAAGATGAATGTGTGAATGACTGTCATTTGAGGAAACCTGCCACCCACACAGATTATGAAAATTGAGATATACACGTGTGTGCGTGTGAGTGTGTGTGAGCCATGAACAAAAACTGAGAGGCAAGATTCAAAATTTCAATTCTATCTTAAAATAATGAAACAATCTCATTTCAACAAAAAACTAAATAATGAACTGATAAATGAAAAACAATTGTTTTAGTCAATTTAAAGATGATCCTAGAGATAATGAAGGGAAGAAAAGTTGTATGAAGCATTTTAATAACAAATAAGTTAATCCCAAGTTAATTAATTTGAACACCAGAGTGAATAAAATGATACAAGACATTGTAGGTTTTGGAATGTAAATGAAGTACTGAAATAAACACATGCTTTACTAACTGGAACAAACAGAAAAACAAAACAAACAAATCAGAACAAAATCAAACCAACCGAAACAAACAAATTGAAATGATCAAACCAAACAAAATAATCTAATACAAATACATTAAAACAAACTCAGCAAAACAAACATAATAAAATGAAACCAACAAACCAACCGAAATAAATTGAAACAAATATACCAATAAAAAAGTGATAAAAAAAATGATAAAAAAAACTAACAAATCTCCAGTTGGTTATGCCTCTCTTGTCAATGTGCTTCACTGCAACCTGGCACCACAATAAACATTCAAGAAATTATTAAGTCATAAAAATAAGAGTGTAAATCAAGATATCAGTATACTTAAATTAAATATTAAGGTTACATTAAATAATTTTACTTAATTTATTATATATATATATATATATATATATATATATATATATATATATATATATATATATATATATATATATATAGATATGCAATGCACAAGATACATACACAGTTAATACAACAAGCAGCACAAATGATGTTGTGCTGGAAGAACCAAATAAAAGACATGCAGCTAGGAATGACGGACCAGTTCACAGACAATGGCTATTAAAATTTTAAAATTCAAGGACCAGTTCACAGACAATGGCTATTAAAATTTTAAAATTCAATGGACCAGACAGACTGGCTATAATGTATGTGAGGTATGTACACGTACAGGCACTCAAGCACGCATGCGCACACGCACACATACACACGCCGCAAACATAGACACACACACACATACATTGTATATATATAAAGTCCAGGACTGGATGTTTATGTATAATTGGAAATCACCCAACAATAAAAATAACCATGTGTTTGTGTGTTTGTATGTATGACTTAATGATGTAAGTACTGAAATGTATTATGTACTTAATTGATTTTAGCTGTATTAAAATTTTAAAAATTATTTATAACAAATTGCAAAATATTGAATAACATAATTTAGAAAATGGTGTAAAAATTGTCACACCTGTTTGCTGTCTGATATTCTCGTGCCACCATACACAATACCAAATCCACCAGACCCAATAGGTTTCCCAGCTCTGTAGACCGATTCAAATGTATGTTCATTTCTAAGAACTGGCTTTCCTGCAAATATTTTTTCAAATAAATCTTCATAACACGTTTGATCTAAAAATCCAACAATGTCTTCAGTTACTAGATTTGTTCTATATCTTTAATTTAATTAAAAAATAAAAATGGCATTATTAGATTTTTATATCAAATTAAATAACTCTCTCTCCTAACTAACTAAAGTCTACTCTAAACCTGAGCCAAGCACTATGCTAAATATGATTATTTTCATTTTTTTATACAAAAATTTAAAAGTTGAGATGTTAGTTGAATAAAAATTCAATTGGATAGCAGAATTTTAGCACAAATTGTATTATTATAGGAAAGTATAAAATATATGCTCTAAAAACAGTTAATAGTAACACACTATTTAATAATTATAAAATAAAACAAATAAATAATAAAATATTTAAAATTTAACAAATTTTAAATTTTTATTAATCAATAATAAATATTAGTAATATTACGATATATGATATTATAATCTATTACCATTTAATATATGAAAAGAATTTAAAAAATTATTTTTTAAATACATTTAAAAAATTTGATTGTAATTTTGAAAAAATAACCATTTTTATAAAATTTGTTATTATATAATTTTTTCTTTTCTTGATTTAAATCACATTTAATGAATTCTTCAGTTAGTTTGTTTAATGAAACGTTCATTTTTGACTTTTAATTTAATTTAAATTTGATAAAAATTTTCAACTTAACGATTAATCTTTCAAAATATAGATAGAGTTTTAATTGGAGACTACATTCTTCTGCTGTCTGTAATTGTAATAATATTGTTGAGAAATAACAACATACGTTTCTATCGGTATTTTAAAAGTAGACTTAATAATTAATAACTAATTAATTATGTATAAATAATAAGCATCAACTTAATCGTCTGAAACTTTTAAAGTTTTAAAATAACGTAAAATCAAATGAAACGAGAAACTAGACAACTCAGAATACTGCTCTGCTAATAAATAAGACGAGCCAGACTGTAACGTGAACGAGTGTATGTCAGGCTTGCACGTGCACAACGTTATATAGTTATGCTTCGTTATTGCGCGCCTCATTCTCGCCTGTGTGTATGTCAGGTTTGTATATGTTCTATGCACGAATCTGTATAATATATCCATGGTTGTATCATTAAATTGCACGTTGTATTATTATATTTATATTTTTATAGATGAAGTTATATAATTACTTGTTTGCTATACGTACGATGGTAAGAACGCGAACGTATATATAAATAATTTATGCTATGCCTTCTATTATAAGTTCTACACAGTACAATATGCAGCGTTGTATGCACAAGGCGAATATAATATAAATACCTCCCAGTACAAATCAATCTATGTAAATGCTAGAGTAACACTCACACACCCACACAAACACAGAAAAAACACGAGTGCAAATATATAACGCATTTACTTGATGCTACGTGTTTATTTATAGGTATCGGCGTATAAGGATTAAATATTAAATGATTAAATTATATCGACATTTCTAAATTATATACGATTTAAGTGATCTTAAATTAATAAAACAACGTAATTCGTGCGAAGAGATACTCCAAAACACAAAATAAGTAGGAACACACAGTGCAGATGTTTAAGGAACTAGTGACATTTTATGTAATGCATGTTTTTATGCATCTTTTGTGACATAGGTAAAAATTTATGAGCACACAATAGCGATGTTTTGACGTACGAACGTACGACATGTGAAAGTTTTTTGCGTAGCATCGGAGAAAGACACATTATAATAATAAATCATGTGAAACAATTCTCAGAATGTGATTGGCTTGTGATCTCCAGCTTTCGCACGCTATTTAAATACGAATGTAGGTGGTAACTAAGCAACGTGCCGTGACGTCATATAAAATAGTAAACAAATGTTTTCAACGCGCCTGAGTTTGTATGTGCGTGCGTGAGATCGTCTCGAAGGATCAACATTTGGTCGTTTCCTTAGGAATGCATGTATATTCGTACTGTTCATTTTCCATGCAGGTGCGTGCTATACGATGATGGGATCAGCGAGCAGAAATTTTTGTGCAGTCCTTGAATTCGTTTGTATTGTACGATGGTGGTTATATTTGGAACATCATCATTTCCCAATGATAAATTATTAACTTTCAACCTCTATCATTTACAAAGTAGGATAGGATGATTAAATATTTATTGTATAATGTCATGCTGTGTCTGTGCCCATCCAATCCCTCCCACACTCTTTGGATTCCGTAACATTTATATAGCATAACATCTCCTTACATAAATAACATGATGATGTAACATGCGACCGCAATTGTATTCTACGGCATATGTTACATTGCTCGGGTCAGAAATACTGACCATATGGCTTTCAGCAGCTCTATTCTATACAATGCTCCATATTTGGCTTGTCGTCCTACTCTCTTTTACATATAGGAACTGTCTTTCTTTACAAAGAAGACTCATTATATATCTATATTATTGAATTCGCACACTCACACGCATACTTGAGAATGATTCCTCGTTTAGTGTTTAAACACACACTTCAAATTGAATTAACATGGATAATTTTACTTGCTGAACAAATGTGATGTGTTGTGCAATGTATATGTTTTAGTTTAGAGCTTCATAATTGCACGTCTTTTTATTCTTGAAAATAAATGCTTATCGTTCAATATATCTACGGCTCAAGTAATATTGACTTTTAAATAATTCTACTAAATATTTTCGTGGATCGACAAAATGGGTTAAAATTTGAAAAAAAAGTCAGATGAGGAAGTTATATATATTTAAGTTGCTTTATATACCTATAATAATAACAAGACGATTCGAAGCATTATTTTCCTTCAATTAGTGAATTGTAGTGGTGTGGTGTGACGTGTTGGGATGTGATGTGGTGGATGTGATGATGTGGTGGGATGTGATGTGGTGGATGTAATGTGATATGGTTGATGTGGAAACATCATTTGGGGAGTACAAGACTGGTCTTACCTGGACAGCTCACATGAGAAAGCATTCAAAAATTGCCTTTGATAACTGTTGACTACATTCGCATACATATAAATAAGTATGCATTATATATATATATGTATATATAATATATATATATATATATATATATATGTACATATACATATATATATATATATACAATAAAAATATATTTTTAGATACCATATATAGAATAGGTATATTATGGGAGTAAGTATTTGAGAGAACATGTAACCAAGTGCTTGTCAAAAGCTCTGTGAAAATATTGGTTCCCATGATGAGATTGATGTGCACAATCTCATGGGAACAAATAACATATTGTATAAAAAATGTGCACATAACACACAAGTGTACAAACCTAAATGTTGTACAAACAACACGCATAAAATCACAGGGTAGTTGTCAGTAATGAGTTATTTATTATATAACAATGTATTCGTGTTTTGCGATTGCATTTCTACCCTGTACATTCACGTCGGCATATGTTTTTGTGTGTGCTTATGATTGATGTGTGTGATGTATTTACTTGTATATGCTTACTTAGATTGGCGCTATGAAAAACTGTGTAAAACTATCCGTGTTTGCTTGTTTGTATGCATGCCTGTGCTTGGATCATTCTTTCCACTTCTTTCCACGTGTTTCCTCAACTACTTGGTCATGAAAGAGCCTCAATGAATGAACGGATATCACTTTAGCGACAGAAATAAACGGTAAATCAAATAAATAAACAGACACTCCTAAATGCCAAAGACACCCATTCGAGCGCGCACTTACTCTCAGTAATGTTGTTGCTGCTGTTGTTGTTGTTGCTGTGTTCCAGCTTAACGGCACTTCAGCCCCGGATAAAGCTATTGAGTGCCGTGCCATATTTCGATTCACTAAAAATTCTATTTTTTTTTCTTTTTCATTTTCAACTTTTTCCTCTTTATTTTGGTTACCAAACAACCTTTTTGACTTAACATTTGATTCTGAGATTATGTCCTAATAGCCTTAATTCTTTAGGTAAAACTATCAACTGATTTAAATTATCGCGAGTTTTAAAATTTTCGCTTATCTCACTAGTTTTTCGCATTTAAATATGGATGGAATAGCCAGCATGTCATTACAGTATTCACACACAGGAGGCTCTGTTTTGCTTATTAAGCTGGAGTGACCCAACAAAATGTTGTATGATTTGCCGAGAGTAAAGCGAGTGCTGTAAAATCTGTTTTTTATGTTTTTTATATCAGGAAATATATTTGATGGAGATGAGTTTTATTAATAGTTTCATTCATTTATTCAGCCACTGTGAGTACAGAAGTTTATTTGGGCTGGAATCACGTTGGTCTGAGGGAATCTCAACAATGCTGCTTGAGTAAGGTGGAAACATTATTTGTTGCATTTGAAGTGTTCGGAGTGATGAGCAGCGTTGAAAAGGAAACGAATGCCAATCTATCACAACCAATTGAATTTTTATAATTTTCCCCATCATCATCATCGTTCTCATCTTTGTCCCACCACATTATTGTCATCACCATTTCTATCATTTGCTTCGTTGTCTTTTTTGTCATCATTGTTTCCCCACCATCACCACTGTCATCACTGTCCCACCATCACGACTGTCACCATTGTTTCTGAGCATATTGGCAATCATCCTTGTGTTCATACTTTTGCTCCATAACTCACTCGCTTACTTACGTAATCACTCACAACGAAACAATCTCCAATTACGCCGTTTTTATTATTTATTCCGACGCTAGTTCTAAGTGATTCATTCCATCCATTCATCCATCCATCCATCCATTCATTCATTCATTCATTCATTCATTCATTCATTCATTCATTCATTCATTCATTCATTCATTCATTCATTCATTCATTCATTCATTCATTCATTCATTCATTCATTCATTCATTCATTCATTCATTCATTCATTCATTCATTCATTCATTCATCCATCTTATCTTCTTCATCTTCATCAATATTATAATCATTATGCCGATAGTAATATGTATTACTGAATTGTTTGTTTGTGCAGTTTAGCAGTTTAACGGCGTTTCAGTACAACTGGCTATCTTTACGCCCCTTGTTCCTTTTCTATAAATGCGTTTTTTTGTTTTAAAACTTTTGAGAAATTATTTTTAAATTCTATTAAAAATTTGTATTTTCTGAAGGAATGATATTAGATAAATGATTTTATCTCTGGAAAAAATTTTTTCTACTTCTGAAGGGATGTCATTTCGTTTCCTACTATTATTGTGACTATTACATTTGACCAAAATGTGATGGATGGTTAGTTTTTCGTTACAAGAGTTGCATGTAGGCGAATTTGTTTTGTTGAGAATCCAGGAATGAGTCAAACTTGAATGGCCTATTTTTAATCTGTTGATGATTGTCTGAGGTTTACGTTTTAAACCTTTAAATTCATTTTTTTGACTGAGAAACGGTGTGGATAATTTAAGAAAGTTTGATGTTTGGTTCCATTCAAGTTGCCATTTCTCCATTGAAACCTTTTTTGTCCAAAATCTTAAATCATTGTGTGGGATGGGAAGATTTGATATTGGAATATTGTGAGCTTGTGATGCCAGTTGATCGACTTCCTCATTACCCTGAATTTCTATGTGACTGGGTATCCATATCAGAGTTATTTTCTTACCATTGTTATCATTTAAGTTATTATGTATCCTGTTTTGCGTTTGAATTATAAGGTTATGTTGAGGTCTATATTGTTTAAGCGCCGTAACTGTTGATAATGAATCTGAGAATATCATGAAATTTTTACTATTGGATTTAGATATGAATTTTATTGCCATCTGAATGGCAATGATTTCTGCTGTGAAGATTGAAGCATGGTTTGGAAGATGTTGCATGATTTTGTTTATGCATTTTTGTTGTCTGTAGACCACTACTGCTGCTGTAGTTGATATTCTTTTTTTGAGCCATCAGTATATATTTCAATTGAATTGGGATTCTCTTGAATTTTTTCTTTGAATAACATTTTTGCTAAGTTTCTGTCTTTTTCTATTTTTGCTATACTGGTATCAATATCTGCATGTAGCAACAGCCAGGGAGGAATCTTATAATCATTCTCTTTAACAATTTTTGTTTTTTCATGTTTTTTGATGTATTCATTTATTCTTGTTGGAAAAGTTTGAATAGATTTGGATTTAATGTGACATATTTTATCGATATATTTATAATTTGGATTTTCTGGTTGCGATCTCAGTTTTAGATAGTAATTCAATGCTAATTTTTGATGTCTATAAGATATGGGCATTTCCCCTGAGAAAACATGTAGACTGCTAGATGGAGATGTTTTATATGCTCCCAAAACTCTTCTTAATGACTCGTTGATTATTGGTTGGAGAATTTTGAAATATGATTTCCTTGTTGATCCATAAACTGGGCTGGCGTAGTCTATTATTGATCTTATCGTTGTCTGGTAACTTGTCATCAAGTGCATTTGATCTGCTCCCCAAGTATGATGAGATAAAACTTTGATCAGGTTGAGTGCTTTTAGACATTTTTTTTGCTGCTTGAATATGAGGAATGAAATTAAGTTTATCATCGAATATTTACCACCAAATATTTATATTGCTGGGTGAAATCTATGAAATTTTCTTGAAATTTTAATTTGGGGTAGATCTTGTTTCGTTTTTTTGAAAAAAGGATGGCTTTTGTTTTGGTTTCTGAAAATTTGATTCCATTTTCTATTGCTCATTTTTCTAAGGTTTTCAAAAATGTGTTTATTTCCCCTTGCATTTTGCTAATATCTTTATTTCTAAATGTTATTGTTAAATCATCCATATACAGTGAAGTTATTGCTCTTTTTGGAATTATATTTGTTATGTTATCTAAGAGTAAACAAAAAAGTTTTGGTGACAAAATGCTCCCTTGTGGTATACCTAGATCTGGATACTTTTTTTCAGAAAATGTGTTGTTAAATTTCACCTGAAAGAATCGATCCGTCAAGAAATTTTGAATAAATCTAGGAAGGAGTCCTCGTAAACCAATTTGATGTATCTTTTTCATAATTCCATAGTTCCAAGCTCTATCATAGACTTTCTCTATGTCTCAAAATATTGTTATGACTTGTTCGTTAATGTTTAATGCTTGTCTTACCAATGTTTCAAGCAGTAATAGGTTATCTAATGTGGATCTTCCTTTGGTTCCTCCACACTGTGAATTTGATATTATTTTATTAATTTTGAGATACCAATCTAGTCTTGTATTAATTATTTTTTCCATTATTTTGCAGGTGCAACAAGTTAATGATATCGGTTTGTAATTTTCGGGTTGAAGTTTGGATTTGTTTGGTTTATTTATTGGAATTATTATTGCGTGACGCCATATATTTGGAAAACTTGTATTGTGCCAAATATAGTTATAAATTCTTAGAAGTATCATCAGCGCATTTTATGGTAAGTTTTTGAGCATTTTGTAAGTTATTAGATCTGGTCCCGGAGAGGAATCTTTGCTATTGTTGATTTCATACACCATTTCTTTCATAGTTATTGAGATATTATATGGTTCTAAATTATTTGAATTAAAATCTAAAGCTTTACTTTCTTCTATTAACTTGATCGTTGCAAAATTACTGTTTAGATTTTTTGAATTTCGTTGAAAATTGATAGCCAAGATGTTTGTAGGTTTATTTCTGATGGATATAATTATTGGGTAGTGATCACTGCCATGTAAGTCATGTTCTGCATCCCATTCAATATCTTCAAAGAGAGTTGGAGTTGTCATGGCTAGATCAATTGTGGATGAAGTGTTTGTGTTTTTATGGTATCTTGTTGGTTGTGTTGGCTTAATCAGGCAAAGATCATTTTCTATTATTGTTTTTTCCAATTGCTTACCCTGAGAATTTGAGTTTAGGCAGTTCCAAATTGTATTAATTTTTAGTATTTTGTCTCGTTGACTTTCACCTTTTATTTTAATTAAGATTCTGTTCTGTTGAATTTTAATGAAATTCAGTTTGCCTATATTGTTTTGGAAATATTTACTAATTTTGAAAATTGACATTTTTCTGAAGTCATGGCTGTTATCAGGGGATAGTGGTTCAATGACGAAAACCATTGGTCCGTCCAACTGAAGTGGTATCATGGTTGACGATGAAAGAGCCCTCGTCTTCTCCTTCTTCTTGTGTGGCGCCAGCTTGACTGGCCCACCGGCACCTTCCGTCGAGTTGTAACGAAGCAAAATTCAACAATTTATATTAACTTAAACTTTTAAATGATTATAGAAAAAATACAAAAAAACTAGAAAATTAAAGTTCTTCCACCAAAAGAGGAAATTATTCTAATTCGGCACGAATAAACATGTTCGCCATATATTGCTCAACCCAGAATATCCACCTAGTCGTATTGTTGAACTGTTACAGATTGTAGTGAAATTTGTTGAATCCGTTAGATGGTTAATACAGTTATTTGTATTTGAGATATCGCTATTCAGATTATTTGCAGAATTCAAATAAGGATGTTTTCGTAGAGAACTATTCAATGAATCACATTTTTCAAATGATTAGCATTTTTATTATCTATTTATTTTTTAAGAACTGCAAACGATCGACAGAAAATTCCACGCACAAGTACGAGAACGTCATTTCTAAATGACGCGCAGTTGCCTGCTGAATGTACAAACGTCGATACGGTTAGCATCTATTTTTATCAGTTAAAAGATCGCACAACGAAATAAGAATAACATAAAAATACAACATCAACAACAACAACATCTACATCAACAACATCATCAAGAATAACCATAAACGATAAAAACTCTTTAATTTCAGCAGTAGATATTTTTAATTTGGATGACAAAACTTCGCGATTGTGTCATGATATTTACAAAAATTGTAATTCAGATGAACTTAAAAACGATTACAAAGTAAAAGTAGCAAATTATTAGCATACTGAGAAAGGTTGAAATAAACAAACACACTGTTGTGGATGTGACGCACGTCCGAACCAAATAATGAAAACAGACACGTCTGCACACTCACAACTGAAACATTTATGTTTATATCTAAGCGAATATGATACTCACAAATTTATTACGCAACACGTTGTCAGCCATTATATTTTCAAAATTCTTCCTTCATGTGTTGAAGCACGAGTGAACCGACCGAACATTCATCTCAACTTAAGTTATTCGAATGAAGATTTTTGTTATTCGAGTGTCATATTTCTACGCAAACCTGTTCATTACAAATCTATAAATAAATTCACGCGTGCATGGCTTACTTATGTTCTGTACGCTCTCCTCACATTAAGGTTGAACGAAGGTTGCGGTAAGTTAAGCGGGGAAGGTGAGGTGAGGTAGGCCGTTTGCTGTTCACTAGATTTTAAAAAGCTCAACGTTTTTTTAACATTCGGAACTTTTCTATAACTGCTATTCACTTTATTTACTGCTCGATTGTACAACTTAACTGTTTATGTTCATATTGTGCGGGATAATTTATTATAATATGGGTGTCGGTAGGAACATTTGGTTCACACCGCTGATGACTAATTTTGTTTGTGCACAAATTTTTGCGAGATGTGAGAAAATTGTTTAAAATTATTTAATCTTTGTATAAAATCAAAAACCTTTTACATTTTTGATGAAATATTTTTTGAGCACTTAATGTTTCGGCAAGGATTTTAATCTAAAAATCATTTCCATGAATAATTTTTAGCATTTTACTGAAATAAACCTGAAATACGTATATCTACATATACTACAATAATTATATATATATATATATTTATATATATATATATACATATATATTACTGAAATAAACCTGAAATACATATATCTATCTATATCTTGTATATATAACATTATATATTAAATAATTTGTTGGAAGGAGATCATATTTTATACAGTATTGAAAATAGAATTATTATATAATAAGTTTATAAAATTTTAATAAAATAAATAAAACAATAAATTAAGCAACTTCCAAAAATTCTAGTAAGGAAAATGGAAAAGACAAACTTTAAATTAATTGATGCCCACAATTCTGTATAATTCATATATATATATATATATATATATATATATATATATATATATATATATATATACAAATATAAAGTTGAACATCACGTTCTCCATGGATCTGGCATATAATTAACAAGATAATTGCAGTAATTGCAAAACATTTCCTCTTAATATCTATGATTCCTCATTACGATGTGTAATAATAACTTTCTAATTAAGCATAATCAGTTGGTCGTTAATAAAGAAATCGCCATTACGGATGAAATATGTGTTTTGTGATAGTCGTTATCATTAACAGCGTAGAATTGTTTTCGCAACTTGTGCTTACTCATACTAATACTGTGCAATATAATACCCTTAACATTAAATTACATTGTATGTACTTAAACATTATATTGTATGTACTTTTACCTATACTATGTTGTTCTTGTACGTTATGTTATATTGTACTTTAATTCTACATTGTACTGCATTTAATCAAACATGCAAGCTCCAAAAAACTTTACTGATTTTTTTTATGAAACCAAGTATTCGACTTCACTTCTCCATTTTAAACAGTTTAGTTATTCAACAAAAATCCATGAAATTACTCTACCACCCCATTAATAATATAAATAATAACAATAACAATAGCAACAAAATAGTAATAATATTTATAACAATAACGGTAATGATGGTAATGATAATAATAACTGAAATAAACAACGTTTCCAACCTAGTTCACAAAGTAGCAACTAAAAAACTGATGAAGATGAAAGGTTGCAAAAAATTTAACATGAAGAACAAGTAAACAAAAAAGGTCAAAGTTCTTTATTTTTTCTTTGATTTGTGAAATTCTTCATAGAAATTTTTTAACATGCTCACCCTCAAGATGATCAAATATAACAAATTAAATTTTCTTACAAGCTTCCTATTTATATTATCATATTATATATATATATATATATATATATATATATATATATATATATATATATATATATATATATATATATATAAGACCATATATAAAGCAGTAATTTTTGAAATTTACCGAATTTCTTGCGTTGGATAATTTTTTATTACATTTATCAATATTTCTCAATATTACTGCATTAATAATGGTCTCTTATCAGCATTCACTAAAATATCTACGACCAACCGAAGAAACTTAACAAGCGAACAACAAGCAACAAGAACGTGAGCAACGAATGCTCCATCTTTCTCGTGAGTTATTAGCGAAGTAAAATTTAGTCACTCAGTCGTCTCAGAGACTATGTGATTATGAAAACCAGTGGATACAAAGTAATATCGTCGATAACATTAAGACTCGAGAGTGAACTGGAAAACTGTATATTATTCTAACGTTAATAAAATAAATAAGGACGACAAGAATTTGGTTCGAAATATTGAGAAATGTAATAAAAACTATCAAATGCTAGAAATTTGGTAGATTTCATAAATTACTGCCTATATATATATATAATATGTAATATATAATATATAATATATAGTTGTATATTCATTTATTTATTTATGAAATATTCAGAAATATTAATAAACTGAAGATGAGAATATCAGATTGTTAAAAAATACACCAACATTAAAAATGCCCATAAACCGAAGATTCAATTTAATTTTGTGCCAAATGTGCATATGTTCAATACAATGCATGCAGTAAAAATTGACCTGTAATTGTATGATAATATTTACTGCGTGTGCATTATTTGATGACAACAAACGAAAATCTGAAAAATGAGTCATCCGAAGATGAATGAGCGTGAGAACTTGGGTACGCCACGGTGCACGAAGTAGGTACGCCATCATCATGCTTCATGCTTCCTCTCAACGTGGCATGCCTGCATGTGTGCAAACTTCTTTCGTCCTCATAACATAATATGTAAACAAAAACATAATGAGCACTTGACTTTCGTTGAAAAGCTAACAGCAGTGATTTGATGATTGAAAACGAAAATGATTTTGTAAAAATGTTAATTGCACAAATAAATAATGTGTCATATGCAATACGAACAATAAAACAAAAATACAAACAAATAATTGTACAAACAAATAGCTAAACAGACTGACAAACAAATAGTTGTACAATGAAATCATACAATACATACAAAATAAATGATTATACATATGATTATACAAATGTAGAAAAAACAAAATACACAAACACGCTACATAAACATTCATTCAGTAAAACAACATACACAAACATAATGTTGTACACGCATACATACAACAACGACTTTTGAAGGTAAGAACGCAATTTGCAAACACAACTCATAACAAACCAACCAGTGAACTAACCAATCAATCAGCCAACTAGCCAGCCATAGATGAACACAAATAAACAAGTCACATGTTTGCACTTAACAGCCATCACACACATCACGACAGAGCACAACAATGATGATTGCTAATAAACAACAGCAAGTTGCACGACAAATGTTCATTTGAACATGATTTATTTGTATATTTTACGAAACCTTTGGTCAATTGAATGTCACAAACGCAGTTTAAATTAAAAGTATATAAACAACTTAAAATCCGTTAATTAAACGCGTAGAATAATTTTAAATTGTTATAATTTAATGTCATTCATTTACATCGCTGCCTTGAAAAATCACTAACGTAATATGGAAATATGAAACTCCAACATAAGATCGAAGTAACAAATATAGTCACTGCAAAAAATAACAAAAGGATATAAAGTTAGGAACGAATGATGAATTATCGCACCTGGTTCATCGTGTTAACACAATCACGCGCCAATTCACACGCGGTTCTGCACATCAATACATCGACACAAACTTATTTTTATTTTGGCAGTGAGTGTTTAAAAGCGCCAAAATAAATAACAAAAGCGATAGATTGAATGGTGAATCAACGATCAACGAACGAATCAACGAACGAGTTCTTTGTTATGAATCAATCTTTCTCATCACGTCTCATTCAACAGTTGTAAAATTATATCCATTTAAAAACTTTGGTGTTATTTAACTAAAAATGAAATAAATGATGAAAACTTTAGAAGCAGTTTTAAAAACCAACCGAACATTAGCAATTGAAATACTAAGGTTTGGCTAAACTTCTCTACCGTACAGCCCGTACAAAATTTATTTTATAGGTTTCAATCATATCGCCTCTTTATCTGCGATATTTATGCAGGTTGAAAAACTTTAAAAGCTCCGTATATGTAAGATTTTGACAACTGTTCACCAGCTTTGATGTTCTTTCATCTATTTGTTTCTCCTGATTTTGTTTTTGACGAAAATTGTATAAAAGTATATTAATCTCTTTTTCACTTCCCTTTTTAACATTCCTTATCAGCCTCTAACTAGATTCCAGTTCCATTCCATCCACCTGTAAATATGCTAATGCTGTTTTTTTAAATCCTCATGACCAGTATACAATCTAATATTTTTCAATTTATTAATAAGCTTTTAGCTCTGTCACTCGTTCTTACATTCGAACAAGCAGGAAATTTCACTGGTTTATCAACGACTCCTGTCTTTTAATTGTTTCATCAAACTTCTTTGAATCAATCGCCAATTAAAATGTTTCTTTCTTTTTCTTGTTTGGCACAAAATTTGCACTTAATTGTGTTGAACAAGCCTTTTCAACTCA